AGACCCGTGGTTGGCAAACTGTGGCTCACGAGCCACATGCGGCTTTTTGGCCCCTTGAGTGTGGCTCTTCCTAAGCCTTAGGAGTACCCTAATTAAGTTAATAACAACGTACCTACCTATATAGTTTAAGTTTAAAAAATTTGGCTCTCAAAATCGTTGTACTGTTGATATTGGGCTCTGTTGACTAATGAGTTTGCCGACCACTGGCCTAGACTTAGTCACATGGCCACATGCAAGGAAGGGCAGGAAATGGAATTTGTAGCTGGAAGGCCAAGTATAGGAGAAGGGAAGAATGGGTTATGGTAGACTATTAGCTGTTTTGTTGTTCTTTTTTTCACACAAAGTTTTTTTTTGCTCTTATAGGATCTCTATCTGGAGCCTACTTATATATTAAACAAAATCCTATTTAATGCTTATGGCCAATAGTCACTCATAAAATTTCTGAGTTGGGTTACTTCTGGCATTAGTAGTAAAGTAGTATTAAAGTGATAAAAAATATAAAAAATGTATAAACTTTTACGTATATAAATATACATAATCTTGGCCTTCTACAACAATTTGTATAGTTGCGTGTGTGCATGTGTGTAGTTTTAAAGTTTTATAACCTAAGGTTATACATTTTATAAAAGAAAACAATGGGAAGTGAGTGGTAAATTCTCTTCCTAGAGCACATTTGGATTTTGATTCTACTCTAAGGTGGCCACTTGCTTCCTCTATTCTTTGAGTGATCATAGGATATTATTTCAAACTTTTATTTTAAGGCTACTTTCAGACTTTTTTTGGTCATACAAACTAGTTTAGTAGGGTTTATAACTAGCTGAATAATATATATACACTTTTTATATTTAGGTAACTTAAGATGAAAGTCAATATTGTTATAAATCCTTTCTAGAATCTTGAGTCTGATCTTATTAGCTCCGTGAAGTTATGTATTTTTATTTGTTTTATTTACTGCTTTACCTCCATTGCTTAGAATAATTTCTGACATGTAGACACTCAATAAATAGGTGTTAAATGAATAAAAAGGTATAAAATACAATATGTTTCATGTGTGAATCATCAAACCTCATTTTTACCTCTTCACTTAAGGAAATTTTAGTTCTTAGGCATCTGAATGAAGTAGTTTTTATTTGGCTCACATCCTAGGGAAAAGTGCAGCAAGCGAGAGAGTCTTCCCTGCTCTATATAGCTTCAGCAGATGAACCTGTGTGTGTGCACAGAGTGTCATGTATAATAAGGGCACACATATGTGATGTGGCCTAATATAGGCACTCAAGATGTAGGGATATGTGAATTGGAGAGAGGGAAAGGAAATGTTCCATTTCATCCCAACAACAACAAAAACATTCACTTTTTTGAATGCAACTTTTTTCAAGTGGATTGGAGTTTGAGTAGGATGAGGAAGAAATAAAATAATTTGACTTTTGGGAGTTAGGAAGAAAAGGTTACACAATATTCTGAAGACTGAGTTGGTAATTTGACCTGTTTTATGATTTACTTTATTCTTATACTGTAATACCATTTTCAGAATTCTTATACCACTGACAATATTGAAATTGAGAGGGATAAGCTCTAGGAAACATTTCTTAGCACATCACTCTCTTCTGCGAGTCCATTACCTTTTACCAATAGGGCTCTGGGAGGACTGAGCACATGGAATTGTAAATGAGTGAGCTCTCCTTGGTTGGGTGACACATTTGAAGGGAGGGTATTTAATCCTGGGGAAGAGCATTCTGGGCCTGTGGGAAGAATACTGAAATAAAGGCTGCAAGATAGGAAAGTGTGTGTTTTGTTCAGCCAATGACAGACAGGTAGACCAGTATGCCTCTAGCACAGTGGTTCTCAACCTTCCTAATGCCGTGACCCTTTAATACAGTTCCTCATATTGTGGTGACCCCAATTTCATTGTTACAAATTGAACATAATTAAAGCATAGTGATTAATCACAAAAACAATATGTAATTATATATGTGTTTTCCGATGGTCTTAGGAAACCCCTGTGAAAGGGTCATTCGACCCCCAAAGGGGTCACGACCCACAGGTTGAGAACTGCTGCTAATGTGCAGGGGGAATGAGGGTGGAAGCTACACCTAGAAAGGAAACTACAAAAACAATAAAGGGGTTGACAGGCCAGGGCAAGCATGTCAACCTCAAAGGCTAACACAGGCCAAATAAGATTATGCGGGCGGCAAAAAAACCCAAAAGCTTCAATTTTCATACAAAGGTAGATTTAGCCTGGGGTCAGATGGCTTCACAGATGAGTTTTACTAAACGTTCAAAGAAGAACTAAAACTATCCTCTTCAGACTATTCCAAAAAATTCAAGAGGAAGGAACACTTCCAAGCTCATTCTATGAAACCAACATCACCCTAATACCAAAACCAGATAAAGACAACACAACGAAAGAGAATTACAGGCCAATATCCCTAATGAACATAGATGTCAAAATCCTCAACAAAATTCTA